CAAGTGGCTCCAGATGCACCCGCAGGAAAGGGGCGTGGGGGGAATGGGGCAGGGGGGATTCGTAGGGGAGGGAGAGGAGGGTGGGGTGGCAGGGAGTGGTGCTGGAGGGGGAGAGGGGGCTGGAGGGGGTGAGAGGGCTGGTAAGAGGGATGGTCGAGTGTGGAGGAATTTTCTGTTCAACACGCCGTACTACTATGACCCTCTGGAGGACCGGCCGGGGAAAGGCGGGCGGCGCGGATGGAAGGAGGAGGACGCGGAGTGGAGGAGGAGGGTCAAGGCAGGCGCAGTGGATGCTGGAAGGAAGGTTGGAAAAGAGGAAGGTGGGTTTCGTGTGGGTGGGAGAGGAGGGAGGGGGCAGGGTCAGGCGAGAACAGGTCAGGGAGGAGGCGAAGGAGGAGGAGAGCAGGGAGGAGAAAGGGGAGGAAAGGGAGTGGGGATAGGAGTGGCAAACTCGGTGGAGGGGGCCAAGTGGGATGGCTTGTGGTCGTCTGGTGACGAGGGAGGTGGTGGAGGAGACGATGAGGAGGAAATAGGCATGGGTGGCGAAGAGGATAGTGACAGCGGTGATGATAGTGGCCACAGTGGTGACAGTGCCGCACTGCCCTCACTCCAAATGCCACAGCCACAGCAGCAGCAGCAGCAGGGGCGCTCTGGCTGTGAGCAAGCGGTGCGTGCAGGAGGCATGTGTGAGTATGAGCCAGTTCCCAATGGCCCACGGCAGCGTAAATCGTCCACCACTCCTCGCCCACCTGCCGCCTGCCTCCGTCCGTTGCTGCCGCGCCCACTCAGCGCCTCATTGCAACCTGGTGCACGTGTTGCTGCAGGGCACCCTGCTGCCCCCAGTGACCACTCACAGCCCTCCCTGGGAACATGGCATGGCGCTGGAGGGGGTTCGCATGTACCTGCGGCAGCAGTGCCGGCTGCAGCAGTCCCGGCAGCAGCAGTGCCAGCAGTGCCGGCAGCAGCAGTGCCGGCAGCAGCAGTGAAAGCAGCAGCAGTGCCAGCAGCAGCAATACCAGTGGCAGCAGTGTCAGCAGCAGCAGTGCCAGCAGTAGGAACAACAGAAGCAGCAGCAGGAGCAGCACCAGTAGCAGAGATATTTACACCAGGAGCAGCGAGAGCAGTGGTGGCTGGTGGTACTGTACCAGGAGGTACACCAGCAGCACAGACTCCATGGTTCCAGAAGCAGCAACAGCAGCAGCGTCAATCGCATTTGCTCCAGCAGCAGACGCAACCACAGCACCAGCTGCTGCAGCAGCTGCAAAGAAATATCTTCCCCCAGAAGCAGCAGCAGCAGCAGCAGCAGCAGCAGCAGCAGCAGCAGCAGCAGCAGCAGCAGCAGAAACAACAACAACAGCAACAGCCGCAGCTGCAGCTGCAACAGCTACTTTTACCGCAGCAACACCAGCAGCAGCAGCAACCACAGCACCAGCTGCTGTGGCAGTTGCAACAATTGCTCTTACCCCAGCAGCAGCAACAGCTACAGCAGCAGTTGTTGCAGCAGTTGCAACAATTGCTCGTGCCCCAGCAACGGCAGCAGCAGCACCAGAAGCAACACCAGCAGCAGCTGCTACAGCAGTTGCAACGATTGCTTCTACCCCAGCAGCAGCAGCAGCAACAACAGCAGTTGCTGCAGCAGGTGCAAGAGCTACTCTTGCCCCAGCAACAGCAGCAACAGCAACAGCAACAGCAACTGCAGCAGCAACAGCAGCAATTTCAGCAGCACCAACAGCAGCAGCAACTGCAGCAGCAGCAACAGCAACAGCAACAGCAACAGCAACAGCAACAGCATCAGCAACTGCAGCAGCAGCAGCAGCCTCAGTCAGTAACCACACAATCTCTGATCCCAGTCACTTCCACCCTTACACCCCCTCAGGATACCCAAGTTCAGCCTCCTTACTTGACAAATCAGGCATATCCCCCTCCTTACCCACCCTATCCGTACATGCAGTTCCCTCCGTTCCCACCACCACCACACTCATCCTCCCATCCCTTCCCTCCCCAGTCTGCCCCTCCCCCAATCATGCCTGCCTGGCCACAGCAGGGGTATGCATCACAGCCTCTATATTCTCTCCCTGCTGTTGCTGCCTGTGCTCCTGCGAGTGAGGATGGGTTGGGTACTACTCAATCCACTGCCATAGCAGGGGGTACAGGTATTGCAATGAGGAAGGGAAAGAAGAGGAGAGGGGAAGGCGGCGATGTAGAGATTGAGGTGGCGGGAAGGAAGGAGGGACTGGTTGGGCAGAAAAGGAGGGCACGTGAGGCGGAAACATCAGGGAAACGCGCTGCACGGAGTTCAGCGTTTCAGAATGCCTGGAAAATGCTGATGGACGGAGGGAACGCGGAAGGAGAGGGTAGGAGCCGTGGTGATGGTGCTGGTGAGGGTGTTGAGGCGCATGTGGATGGAGAGGATGGTGGTGATGATAACAGGGAGGAGAGGGGGCAAGGGAAGCGCCAGAAGAGAAAGGTTACATGGGGTGGTGTTGCTGATGTGGGGTGAACCCATTGCTGCATGGTTCTTGACTCTTGACGCCAAAAAAACAGTGGAGTCAAGAGAAGCTTGCTCTCTGCAACTTGTACAGACATCCTGCTTCACTACAGAAAACAGGGACGAAATGGAATTAAGAGAAGGCATATGGTGCTGGTCCAATAGCACAAATTCTCCATAGGCTTACCGTACCGCATCTGTTGTTTTACAACAGTGATCAATTTCACTGCATTTCACTGCCATTGAAGCTTCATAGTCTTGTTGGAAACATGTACCACTTCTGATGTGTCAAAACACTGAGTCGTAAGCAAGGCGAACTACAGCGAAGCAACAGCGAGTCAACCGAGGAGGTCAGCGACCTTTGACTCGCCAAAAGGCAGCGCGACAGCAAGGACACACAACTCACTCGTTATTGAGCAGTTGCCCGAGTCGCAGCTGTATCGAATCGCAACAGCAACAGCAACAGTAATCATTTCATATTCTTTGTAATCATATAAAAGGCCTTGTATTACTTTGCTACAATCAATCTATCTTGCTCTCACACACTAGTGGAAGGTGGTTCAACCAGTTCACTTCGAGTCTTAGCCTTGAAACGATCCTAAGGGCTTTTCACAGCCCAACATGGTATGAGAGCTAACGAGGCAAGACTCAACTCTGTTCATCAAGCTACAACAATAAAAGGCATGGCAACACAGAAGGAAAGGAGCTCCTCTAACGGATCTCCTGACACTACCCCTTCTCCACCTCCAGCCTCTGGACTACAGACAGAGGGAGGTACGGCGACAAGACCAGCTGCTGAATCTACTGAAACTCCTGCGAACCAAACAACCGGCTTCGACCCAAGCATGATGGAGAAGTTCTTCTCCTTCATGTCGTTTTACGAACAACACCAGCAAGCAGCACCTGCGCAATCAAACAACAGCGACAACAACAACGGCGTTACCCCTATGAGTCTTGACGGCTCATCCTTTGCGCGCGGAAACCAGCAGCAGCCTACCTTTGCACCGTATGAGCCTCAACGCGGCTCCATCAGCTTCATGCCGAACCAGCCTCCACCTCGACAAGAGAAGACACCGGATGCACTTCAGATATAGTCGTAGTTTGCACACGTTTTGAAACTACAAACGTCAACACCATTCGATGGCAATGACTTTTATACATGGCATCACCGGTTCACCACCGACCTACTCACCCGAAGAACAGCTCGATGAAAGCACGCCTCGTCGCGAATCACTGGAGCCAAATCCGACGTATGCAGCCATCGCCCAAAGCGAACCGTCCAGGAAAGACACTTGGTTCTTGGACAGCTGCTGCGGACAACATATGTGCTCTTTGGGTCGCTTCGTTCAACGGGAACAACGTCTTAACCGCGAACTTGTCATCACCGTCGCCAACAACCAGAACCTGCGTACACGACGACAAGGGGTAGTTCAACTTCAATCCCGCGAGATTAACGCTATCCTGCAGATGTCAAAAGCTTTGGGACTCGGCTACATGGGACTCGGCTACAACTTACTAAGGGTCAGTCAACTCATGGCGAAAGGAATTCACCTTAAAGCCGACAGCACCACTCAGTGTCAGAAATGAGAAGCTAGAATGATAACAGAAGAAGGGGTGGTTGCACTAGTAGGCAGGTGGGATACAAATAGGAACCCTAACTGAGTTGTACTCACTGTTGATTACCCCACTACAACCTACACATCATAACATTCTGACACACCCCCATAGGCAAAGTGGGGTTTAGTCAACACAACAAGCAATCGCAGGACAAGTGCATAAGCAAACGCTAGTGGCAGAAACAGAGGGCAAGTGAGGAGGAGGGACTATGACAGGAGAGGAGATAGGAGGCGGCGGCTGAAGCTGCTGGCACTCGGGCAACCGGAGCAACTGGCACACTGGCTACCGGAGCAAGGGCATCCGGACTGCTGGAGTAACTGGCTCCGCGCTAGACGAACGGCTGGAGCAACTGACCCACGGGCGACTGGAGCGACGAGCTCACGTGCCACCGGAGCAACGACATCCGAACTACTGGCGCTGCTGGCTTCACGTCGGCTACCTCCATTCAACCTCCCCCCATTGCCCCAAACCCCCTTTTCACATTTCCCTCTGCATCCCTAGCACCACTCCCTTAGCTCCCACACCATCCCCCCCTCAGCGGCAGCTACCGCAGTGGGAGAGAAAGGAGGAGGAGGAGCAGCTGCGTACGCACTCCCGTCACCCCCATATCCGCCACCCCAATGCCCTCCCCCCACAGGTGCATGCGTAGGAGGGAGAGGAAGGAGAAGGGGGGGGGGGGGGGGAGGAAGCTGCCCCGCGGCGCACAAGGGGCAAGGGCGGCGCGCGGCAGCAACAAGGCAGCGCGCGCGGGGGCCGCAGGGTGGCGCGCGGGTCCTCTGGGGCGGCGCGCGGGTCCACGGGGGCGGCGCGCGGGTCCCCGGGGCGTCGCGTCGGGTGCACGGGGGCCGCGCGCTGCTCCACGGGGTGGCGCGTCGGGTGCACGGGGGGCCACGCGCGGCTCCAAGGGGCGGCGCGCAAGTCCCACGGGGCGGCGCGTCGGGTGCACGGGGGCGGCGCGCGGCTCTACGAGGCGGCGCACCGAGTGCACGGGGGCCGTGCGCGGCTCCACGGGGCGCGCCGAGCGGAAAACCGCCGCGCGCCCCGCCGCGCACCCGGGGCGCGCGGCGGGCTGAAAAATGTCGTGCGCCCGGGGTGCGCAACTAACAGAACAGCAGCGGAAGCAGTAGGGTGGGCCCATCCATAGGATCGACCAGGGAGGGTCGACCTGCTCTGATAGCATGTCAGAAATGAGAAGCTAGAATGATAACAGAAGAAGGGGTGGTTGCACTAGCAGGCAGGTGGGATACAAATAGGAAACCCCACTACAGCCTATACAGCATAACATTCTGACACTCAGGAGTTCAAGTTGTACAACTGGAAGGGTGGGCTCTACATCGGGAATTTAGTTCTGAAGAACAACGTCTTTGTCCTCGACTTCGTACCAGATCAAGGCACTGCTGACAGCAACGCGATTGTCAACTTCACCACTTGGTCGTACCCACCAGACCTCGACCCCGACTTTAGTCCTGGAGGTTTCTGGTGCTCGCACACCATACCTGAAGCAGAATGGACGAGAGCGTTAGCAACAATTCGACAAACAACTATGGCAAAAGCAGAGACAACACCGGCAGAAGCAGAGACAACACCAATCGCTGGTCCCTCAACAACACCAGTTCCCACCAACGACTTTCCACCGACTCCAGCCCAGCAGCTAACCCCCACTCCACGCAAAGTCCACAGAAGCGCCAACATCACCGCGATTTTTAACTCCAACTCCGACCTGTACAGACGATCACCTGGACATCGCGCCAGCGAATCAATATGGCATGCAAGAATGGGACACCAGAGCAACACAACACTGAACAATACGATAAGAGCAGGAGTTCTCGACAAGGACTCACTTCTTCTACCCGACGGTAGAGAACTTGAACCAGTACGTGGAACATTCTTTACCTGCCCCGAAGCCGATTTACCCCATCAGCCATTCGTCTCTCACCACAACCCAAGCGCACCAGCATATGCACCATTAGAGAAAGTCTACAGCGACATACTGTATGCTCGCGAAAGCGGACAAGGAGCATACAACTACGTCATCACGTTCATCGACGCCGCCACCCGATACGCCTAGCACCTCAATCTTCCAAGTCGTGACATGGCCTTCGAAGCCTTCATCGCCTGGCTTCCAGTAGCAGAACGGGAATCAGGAGTGAAGCTGAAAAGCTTCCAGTTGGACGGGGGAGGGGAATATCAGTCATAGAGGTTCAAGCAGTACCTGGCAGAGAGAGGCTTCTGTCAGAATGAACAAGAGTGATTGCACTAGGAAAGAGTTGGGTACAAGTAGGAAACCCTAAACTTACTGTACCCCATAGTAACTACCCCACTACAGCCTAAACAAAGTGTAGTAGACATAACATTTGACACACCCCCATAGGCAAAGTGGGGGAGAGCAAGGGGTCACAAGACCACTCAAGAAAGGCAAAGCAAGCTCAGGGTGGATCACAACGTCACCACACAGTCTGAGCACAAGCAAAGGGCCACAAGGCCAGTCCACATGCAGAGGCATATATGCAACACAAACAGCACAGTGATCTCTACCTAGCAAAGCAAGCATGCAGGTATATTTTTGTATATACATATATATCAGAGTACAAGCAAAGCCTACATCAAGTGAGGAAAAGTGGGCACAAGCCCTAGCATAGTGCAGAAACGCTGATGATCACCAGACTGAAGTGCCTTGGTGAATATATCAGCAGTGTTGGCCCGAGTGGCCACGTAACGCAGACGAAGCTGACCACGCTGCTGCAACTCTCGAGCCAGGAAGTAACGCAGAGCGATGTGCTTGGTTCTGTGCTCCAGTCTCTGCTCCTCACACAAGGCAATGGTAGCCTTGTTGTCGACGTACAGCACTGGAGGAGAACGAGGCCGCTCTCCCAAGTCAGTCAGCAGGTAGGTGAGCCAGCGTAACTCCTGTGCAGCCATGGCTGTGGCGTAGATCTCAGCCTCACAACTGGAGCTGAGAACTGAAGACGAACGTGTAGAACGCCAAGAAACTGAACCAGAGCCAAGGCTGAAGGTGTAACCCTGTGACGACCGCTGCGTAGCCTGGTCGTCAACCCAAGAAGCGTCTGAGTGCCCAGTGAGGACAACTGAGCTCCTCCCTCCAAGCACGAGTCCCATGCCTGATGTACTGCACAAGTAGCGCAGTACCCTCTTAGCAGCATCCATGTGCACCTTTCGGTGCCGACCAGGAGCCACGTAGCGAGCCAGAAGGCCAAGAGGGTACGCGAGGTCACGACGAGTGCAAGTCATCAGGTACATGAGACAGCCAACTAGCTCTGGGTAAGGACCAGTCGGCTCTACGGACTCGTCCGAAGGTGGAGCTGAGAGCGAGTGACCTGTAGCCAAAGGAGTGGCCTGTGCCGAGGACCAGGTGAAGCCGAAGCGCTGAAGGACCT